AAACGTGTTCTTATCATTGGATTTGCACATGGAAATCTGTAGTTCACAAAGAGGCACTCACCACCTGGAGGGGGAAGTACTGGGCCCGAGGGCTGCGAGGCCTGAGCTTGCTGAGAGGGATTTTGACTGTTGAGGCGCAAGCAGATCGTGTTAGTCTCTGATATCAAGGCATCAAGCCGCTTGTACTATATACGGCTGTTCGTACCTGAATGACCCCAGGGGCCGAGGCTGCTGGTTCATTTGATCGATGCCAGGATGCGACGGCGGCCCACCAGAGGAGTGCCAGCTATCGTTTCCAGAGTTCATGGTGTATGCACGAACCCTAGTAGGAGAGAAGTAGGAAGGTAGATTTGACGGATAAGAAGGGTCGAGGAGGGGAGAAAAAGTCAGGGTCTAGTAATCGAAGAGCTGGAGCTCGTAGTCTCGTGGGTTGGAATCGACGGGCAACGCTCAGGTTGCACTAGGGTCACAGCATGACCCGAAATCTTGCAGATAAGAAGACAGAAACCAACTCCACGCAGCAAGAAAGAACCGGTAGAGAAGTAGAAGTACGATAGGCAAGAAGGAGACACAGACTGGGGTGATGGAATTGCGCGCGACCGATCGCGGGCTCCTGTGGAGGCTTTCCTCTCCGGAGCTAACCTATTATGGACTAGTGACTGCTTTTCGGACATTCGATTTTCCACAATGTATTCAGAATTCAATTATTACGGTATTGTTTGTATCTATTGACGGGATTTCCGTCAATGGGAGGCGGTACAATGGTCATGCGTTGTATTGTGCGATAGGTCAATTTCCGTCCGCCTTCGTCATCGCCCGCCATTGCCGGCAGAAAAACATGACAGGCATTGAGGGAACAAGGGAACAAGCGTGAATAGCATGAGTCATGAATGGAGGTGGATGATTTCAATAGACCTGTAGCTTATTGTTCATTGTATAACCTGTCTTATGTATCAATATGAATATCAAGGCTCATTCTGAAGGCTGGGGTGCCTCTCGCTTGTCATGCCTCGGAAAGGGGCGGAGGGTAAGGGCTGGCTAACAATGGCCAGTTGAGTGGCCTCTTCCGGCATCTTTTTTTCAGGGTCCTTTCTAAAAGATACATTTTCGAGGTACATTTTATTGAAGTCTTTTCTCCTATATATTCAGAGAAAGTAACAGATAAAGCAAGAAAAACGCTTAAACCGTAAAATTATACTGTTCTGCTTGGAACTAAGGACTTCTAACGTCTCAATACTAGTTAGCTACCAAATCTATAGCCTTTCATAACTATGGAAAGGGCCTCAAAACAGGCATGAAATTTTCTATCATGAGTTGTCCACAATACAATGCCTTTGGCCACCCCACCACAATAGCAGGGAAAGAGTAAAAAGGGACATAGGTAAAGAAAAACTAGGTCTCCAAAACCCAGACAGATGAGTTCCACGATGAGAGCAGAGATAGGGGGATTGCGGGGGAAGGGGAAAGTCCTGTGATTATGGAACCTGTGGCTTGCTGCTATCATTATTTTCTGGTTTTCATTCTTCATATCTTGCCTGTTCACCAAGGCCTTCCAGCCACCCGATCCAAACCCCAGATGCGCCTGTTCATGGAAAATGATAATGGCATTGTGATGGTACGATGGTACTTGGTGCGATTAAAGAGCGGAGAAGACAAAGAGCTGTATTTATAATCAGCATTATTAGGGGTTGGACAGAGACACACAAAACTTACATTGTTTGTCGCCGCAATTGCAATGCTGTCTTCGAATGGATGCCAGCTCATGTGCAAGATCTTCTTGTTGAAGTCGATCTGATCCGCATCGGTCTCCTTCTTCATGCGACTGCCGGGGCCGGCAGGGCTGCCGGATCGCGAACCAGCCTTCTTTCCGTTACCCTTGCTCATCGGCGTCGGTACACCAACCTTCTTTGCCTTGAATGCCGACTTGTCTGCCTGGAGCACAATCTCCGTATCCTTTTCTTCTTGTGTGGGGTAGATCATGAAGTTGTTGTTGTAGCTGCCGGTCATAACGTTCTCCGCGTCGCCAGAGAAGACCACCTCGAACTTGTCGAAGATGCTATCGTTCTCGTACGTATCACAGAGGCGAGGGCGCAGGTGCTCGTGGATGGGGATGGTCTTGATCGGTTGACGTTCCATGTTGACATCCCAAATCTTCACTGTCAAGTAGTCCCTGGACACAATGTACCGTCCGTCGTTGGAGAATCGCACGTCGGAGATGGAGGAGATAATCTCAGAGAAGAAGGAACGGGACGAGGCATCCTCTTCTTGTTCGAACTCTACATATAATGGTCAGTATGTGTAATTGACACAATTCCCTGGTTGTACGTACGCTTGGCGTGTTCGTCACACAACGCCCGTTGTCGCATATCCGCAAGCTTGATTGTGCCCTTGGAGCTGGCATACATGAACCAGTTACAGCTGACCGGGTGGAACTCGGCCGCAGTGATGACTTCTGTGAGTTCCTCCATATTCGCTGGCTTGATATCCACAATGTTGAAGCTCTGGTCCTGGATGTTGAGGTTCCATAGGTTCACTCGCAGGTCGTCACTGCTGATAAAGGTTTCACCATCGCTGTTAACGGAGATGCTATTTATATGATACGCGTGGGCGTTGGCGTATGTTCTCCGCGGAACAGCAGCAACAACAGTGTCATGGTGTGTCAGGCGAGGCAGCTTGAGTGCAGAGGGGTCCTTGAAGGATACGCGGGGGGCGCGAGCCATACCTCCACCCCCAACCGGGTTCGCAGGAGTGAGTTCATTCGATAAGTTGTTCTCGGCGACCACCTTCAGCGACTTGTCGAAGACCTTCCAAAGTTTTATCGTCTTGTCGTTCGTCGAAAGGAGGAAATGGGATGCATTCTGTCGTCGGCACCATTTTATCTTGTTGATCTTCTCTTCGATCTCTAGCGACTTGAGATAATCGAACTCTGGCTCGTGTGACTGGAACTCGGTGTGAAACTTATACTCGCAGGTTTTTTTCTGTTTTGTTCAGTGATTAGCTTAAGGCAAAACAAGAAAAAGAAAAATTGAAAAAGACCGGAGGGGGCGGGCTACCGTCTCGTTTCGCTCAAACAACACCACCCTTCCTCCCTTGTCACCAGTGGCCAAATAGTTACCGGTGTGGTCAAATTCGACGGTCGAGATGATGTCCGCTGCAGAGCGCTTGTCAGTCGATGCACTCTGTAGAGATTGACCAGATTCGGCCGAATAGTGCGAGGGAAGCTGCCAATTACCTTCTGTAATATCTTCTACATCGCCTTTATCGCCGAAGCATCTGAGATCAAGTTAGTCCCTATTCAATGACTCTTTGTGGTGACGTTGGGTCGATGGCGCCTAGACAAAAAGGAAGAGAAAATGGAAACCACAAGGTGGGAAAAGTCCGAAAGGCATTGATCCGGGGTGAACTTACTGTGTGAACTTCCAGGTAGGTGTGCCTGGATCTCTGTCTACCATTTTCACGTTCTAACTAGCCCTTGAACGTGACAAGGGCAAGGACCAAGATAGGAGGGACGGGAAATGCGGGCAGGCAAATGCCTCGTGAGAGCTCTATTGTCGATGCAAACAATCACTTAGGTTGAAGCGAAGTAGGCGCGATAGCCGACACGAAAGAATTCGGTCGGATGGGAATAACGATTGGAGAAAGCGGAAATTGAGAGAACAGTCGGTCACCGGAGATGGTGTGCGAGGGGTTTGGCGGATGGCGGTAAGGCGAAAAGAGGGGCAGAGGGGGAAACAGCTTTGAACTATCCAAATGGGAAAGACGAGCTGAAGAATGAAGAGAGCTGTTGCCGAATGAGATGGCAACGTAGCTTGATGATAGAACACAGTGAATGTGCTTGTTATGAGTGGACCCGCAGCAAAAGAGCTTGAGAGGGGGTCATAAGAGAAAAGTTTCTATTGAAGTAGGGTCTTTTGTTAGAACAAACTCCAAAAACACAAAAGGGTGAAAGGTGGATGGGGTTGCGTACTTGGTCCGAAGGCGATGAAAGGAAGACAAGGAAAAGAGTTGAGAGGTTGAAGTTGCCCAGGATGAGTTGAGGCGGTGGTGGGGAGTTACGGAGATACCAAACGGTGGTGAACAGACAAGTTTCTTGGGGGGGCACCGTCAATATTAAGGGAGATTCTATAGTTTATTTCTCAAGTGAATGTGAAATAATAATAATCAAATTTGATTCTTTGATTCTAATGAGATTGAATATTCTTCTCTACATTCAAAAGAAATTCAAGTCGGGCACCTGCAACATGCTGACATCAACACTGTTAACGACTGTAACATTGCCCTTTATGCGCCCCTCTCTCGGGCTTATAACCCGTATACGGCTACAACTGGGCGGTTTAAGTAGGAATATCAATTGAAATATTGGGTTATTAAATAGCTATCTACTTAGATTGAGTTGGATCTATTGGATCTACGTCTTTTGAATTTGGTATTCAATCATCTATATGCCCGAAAACAGTACTATGCGCCTCTGTCGTCATTCTTGAGGCCCAAGCAGGTCTCCGCCAAATTAAGCATTGGCATATATCATATGCTGTCTAAGTAGAGGGATCAGGAAAGGCAATTGGTGATATTCGTTCAAATCCGGAGCATCCCATATGCTGTTGGGGATTCCTACAGATGAATATAGGATCTACAAGTATATATTTAACACACCCGACTATCCCCAGATCTGTCACCTGTCATATTTCTAAATGAGCCTAATATTTTAAGATTGTATAACTAAAAATATCCAAATACCCTATTAACTACTACACAATATACTATCTTTCCTATTCCAGTCCATATCATACCATATACTTCATCCCAGTCGACCTTCACATGCTTCCCCGGCCCAGCCATATTAAGCCGAACACCAAGCCGAACACCAAGCCGACAACCTTGGAAGAGTTACCATCCCCAAATCCCAATCCCTACATCTCATCCTCAACCTAAACCCTTACTCCCAACACCTCAGCCGCATACTCCCTAATCTTAACCCCAAAATCCAAAAACCCCAAGCCATGACCAACCAAGAGAACATGCGGGGCAATCCCAACCCCAAATCCAACACCCCGGTCCCGGCCCCATCGCCCTCAGCCTCAACCTCATTCACCCCCTCCAACAAACCCCCTTCTACCTCCGCGCCCCCCCGCGTCCTCACTAGTATCCCGCATCCAAACTTCCGCAACAGGCCTAGCAAAAAGCGCATTCCAACCGAGCCCCGACCTAGCCAACACCCTAGCATCAAGCACGAGCAGCAAACCAGCCGGTCCCTCCTCTTCCCTCCCGAACACACAAACAAGCAGGGATCTATCCGCAAATACCACACCGCATGGAGCTCCCGGGTCCGGGTCCGGGTCCGGGTCCGGGTCCTCGTATGCAGCGCAATCCTTCCGCGAACACGATACACACACATCAACACCGGGTGGATTCACTCTACCCGCCTTGACAGAAGACGAGTTCCAGGGAAATACACACGCATACGGATACGATGGAATAGGAATAGCGGACAACACAGAAGCGCATCAGTTACGCGCAAATACAACCACAACAACTGCAGACCAAAACACAAATCAATCCCAATCCCAATTCCAATCCCAAGACCTCCAAACCCCCTCCTCAACCTGGAAAGGCAAAGCCCGCGCCCACGACCCAACACAACACCAACTCGAAACCGTCTGGCAGCGGCAATGGCACGAGCAAACACCGCAGACAACGACTGTTCCAGCTACAGATGGTGCGGCTGTTGTGTCATTGCTATCGGATATAACCTTCGACCCGAATTTCGAGGATCCGACGACTGTACCCGATACCGAGATTGATATTGCTGCTCCGCCGGCTCCGCTTTCTGCTGCGGAGAGGGAGATGCTTGATTCTTTTCGGAGGGGGTTGGGGTTGGATGTGGAGGGGAAGGGGAATAAGGAAAGAGAGAAGGATGCACGGTTAACGGGTGCGAGTCTTATTCCTGATATTGATGTTTTTTTGAGTCAGGGGCTTGGGGCTGAGAGTAGTATTGGGAGTGGAACTGGGACTGAGACTGGGGAGAGAAATGCTATGGCCATGGCTACGGATTCAGGTTCAGGTTCTGGTTTCATTCCTACTTCAATCCGCGATGCCGTTTTGAGGAATATGCCCGGTGGGACTGATTGGATTGGTGTCCAGGAGACTGATATTGATGTCTTTTTGAGTCAGGGGATTGGGGCTGGAACGGGGATTGGGAAAGGGAATACTACGGCCATGGGCTCAACCTCTACCTCTACCTCTACATCTACTTCCCTCCGCGACGCCGTGTTAGCGAATCTCCCTGGTGCGGGTGATTGGATTGGTGTCCAGGAGAGATATCATGATGAAGTATGGGGATATCTGCAGCCTGTGCTTGAGGATGCGAGGGCGGAGATTGAGGAGAAGGGGGTTGAGGGATTGGGGGCTGGGGAGGATGGGCCTGCTGTGAGGAGGTTGAAGATGATTTTGATGCATATGAAGGGGTGATTGTTCGGACCGTATTGGAGTTTATATCGAGGAGGACCAGTAGGAGGGTTAGTGCCCTTGTAGTAGGGCTTTTGGTTTGGTTTTGATATACCATGTACATGTATATGTAAATATTAGGCTAGATATATTCCAGAGATGGTACTAGTAGGCAGTGAGTACTTCGGCTGATTGTACGAATAATTCTTATTGGTATCCTACCTTAACCAATTGTCGGCATTCAGCATGGTCACTGGTGGACTAGGGCTTTCTAGGCGCGACCCTCTGACCCGAGAACAGACGACTACAACTACAACTACTACATCAAATCCAAAACAGACGTATGATTCCAAAGAATATATTCCAAAATAAGCTATATATGTATGTTACACAAGAACTAAAGTTGATCCAATCGGATCTTAGATCCCGAGGACTGGAAGAAGCGAGCGTGCCAAAACCAGCACAAGAAACAGCAGAAAGAGACGAAACTGGGGTATGAGAGATCACACGCTGGAGGGATCATATTTCATCGAGGGAGGGAGCGGTCGTCAAGGAGCAGAGGCATAAAGGGGAAAGAATTTGATATAACCTTCACAGCTCCAAGCTGGGAGTCTGGCCCTTGACACGACCGATCACAGTTTGAGCAGCGTACTTGGGGATAACCTCATCATCGTGGAGCATAGCGAACTCCTCGGTAGCATCACGACCCATGAAGTTGTACAGGGCGTTTGCGCCACCGGGGTGCTCATCGACCCAGTTAGTGAGATCGAGGATGATGCCCTTAACCACGACCCAGAGGTCCTCCTTGGAGTTGTGCTTGGCGACTTCCTCCATTGAGTACTCAGTCTCTGGGACCGTGAAGGTCGCGGGATCAGGCTTGGAGGCGGGTGCCTCGGCGCCGGGAGCAGGCGCAGCGAGGGGAGCGAGAGCCGGTAGGTTTCCGCCGGTAGCGGCACTGCCCCATTCAACAGAGACCTTGCCGGGGGTGTTGGGGTCGATGTGGAGGGAGATCTGACCGAGACGTTGGGAGGCGGCGGTGGAGGAGCCGTTGGTGATGACCTTCTGGAAGAGGTGCTGGGAGGCAGAGTCACCAGCGACACGGCCGTAGACGACACAGCCGAGGAGGGAGGAACCGCCGAGACGGTTGGCGCCGTGGACACCACCGGCGAGTTCACCGCAGGCGTAGAGGCCATCGAAGGGCTTTTGTTCGCTGTTGAGGACCTGGGCGTGCTCGTCGATCTCGATTCCGCCCATAGTGAAGTGGAGGACGGGTTCCATGAGAGCGACGTGGAACTCGTCGTTGAGCTGGAAGGGCATGTTGTGGAAGAAACGCTTGTTCCAGGGGTCCTTCTTCTTGCCGTCGGCGATGAGGTTGTACTCGTCGAAGGTCTTCTTTAGGGCTGCTTCGCCGCAGCCGATCTCAGCAACGAGCTCGGCACCAGTCATCTTCTTCATCAGGCCGCGGCCGGAGTAGTGGCGGGTGTGGAAGTCCAGAACCTTGGAGGCTTTGCTGTTGAGGATGAGACGGATAGGCCACTTGCCCTTCTCCTTCTCTTCCCACATCTTGCCGGAGACGTAGTCGCGGTGACCAAGCTCGTCAGAGAAGCGCTGGCCGTCGGCGTTGAGGAGGAGACCACCCTCACCGCGGAGGGCTTCAGCGGCAAGGAACTTGAACTTGGCATCTGGGTCCTTGGGGTCGACGAGACCGGTGGGGTGGACTTGGACCTTGTCCATGTCGATGCCGTTGGCACCGATGTCCATCAGCATTTTCTGGCCGTCACCGGTAGCGTGGGTGCCGTTGGTGGAGGATAGAGCGAAGGTGTCGGGGCGGTGCTTCTTGAGGAGGGAGGTGTCACTGAAGTCAGCGGCGTAACCACCGGTAGCAAGAACGACGACACCGTCGACGGACTTCTTCTCGCCGTTGATGGTGTATGTAACACCGGTGACATTGTTACCAGACTTGTTGATGGAGGTGACGTTGGCCTTCTTGACGATCTGGACACGACCGGGCTCATTATCGGCGAGGTCTTCCAATCGCTGCATCAGGGCGTAGGTGATGGCCATACCGGGGAACTTGGCATCATGACCACGGTGTGTGCGGGGGTGAGTGTGTCCTCCGAGACGAGAGACGAGGGTGAGGTCGAGGTTGAAGACATCCTGCAACCACTCGACGGCGGAGGCGGACTTGTAGGTCAGGACCTTGATTAGGTCGGGACGGGCCTTGTCACGGGCGGACTTGAGGGTATCTTCGTAGAACTGCTTGACGCTGTCCTGGATGCCGAGATCGATTTGAGTGCGAGTGAGAGCACCGTTGATACCGGAGGTGGCCTTGGTAGAGTTACCACCGAAGAAAGCCTGCTTATCCAAAACGAGGACGTTGCCACCGTTGAGGTAGATGGTGTGTGCGGCGCTGAGGCCAGAGACTGGAGAGGGTCAGCTGGAACGGAGAGAATGCGGGGAAAGGGATCCTTACGGCCACCACCGACCACAATTACTTGAGGTGCAGCCATTATATTGTGTATAGAGATAAAAGGTAAAATATGGGGAAGAAGGAAAAAAAAAGAAAGGAAGGAAAGGATCTTAAAGAGAAAGGGTTTCGGGGCAGGTCAGAAGCCGACGGTCTATCGGCCGAGGCACGAAAGAATGGAAGACGTGGGGAGATGAAAGATGGGGGTACCCGCTGTAATACTAATTGCCCACCTCTGGTTTGTCTGTTTTATTACAGTCTGGGGTATGTTGTAGTTATCACATGCAATATGATATTCAACTATATAGATATATCTTATTAGATTCAACTGTCTAGAATGTTTCATTTCCATTTTCACATGCATCTGCGTCATGTCACATTCCAGGTCTTTTCAAGGAGTTGAGGGGAAGGGAATAGACCAAAAGACAGAAACTACATCGGAAATGTCAACGGAATTAGTAGAACGTATTAATCTAGTACTCCATAGGTATATTTTCTAGCAGAGAAATAAACATTGAATTCCGACAAAGGTTCCTCGGTCCTTACAGTAAAGAAGTGTGAACCTCGGAATAACAATTGCGGTGTCCGAAGCTTCCGCATTCTGCATGGCATGATACGTCAGGAGAAAGTACCATTACCATTTAACATTTGAATATTTGAGTCTCACTATGGGATATATTCAAGACATACTATGTATATACATATATGTACTATATGTATATAATACGGATTCAATATCCAAATGTATCTGGAAATATCAAATAAGGCAACTCATGGACCTTGGAAATGATCAGAAAGAGGCAAAACCAATTGCCGGCTGAGGAACATACAGTCTCTGATTGGTGGAACACCAATGTGGAGATGACCTAATCCGGGGATAGGAATTGCCTCAGTGGGGGCTGATGATCTCATCCACCGTTTGTCCACCGGGTTTCAATTCAAATGCCGACTTGCTGGATTTTTATATACAAAATAGTTATGTTGTATGTAGTATATATAAACATGGAGGGAATCCTTATCAGTGCTGTGGTTGACCTCAACAGATCATCTACTACAATTCAAGACCCCAACCAAAAACATCGAAAGAATTAATCCATCCAGGTCACACTCTTCGTAACCAAAAACTCATTCAATCCCTCATCAGTATTAAACCTCCCCCAGCCACTATTCTTCACACCGCCATGAGGAAGAGCTGATTCATCATGGATCGTCATACTATTAATATGAACCGCCCTGCAATAAAGTCAGCAAAGATCCACAACTCCACGTAATCCACCCAACCAAAACCAAAACGGAATCTCGGTCTGGAACATACCCAGATTGAATACGCCTAGCCATCGCCAAACCCCTCCGCAGATCTTCCGTGAAAACAGATGCCGAAAGTCCATACCCACTGCCATTAGCAAGACGGATCGCCTCGTCCTCGCTGTCGAAGGGCATACACGCCGCAACAGACGCGAAAGACTCTTCCTGCCACAGCGCCATGTCCTCCTTCACCCCGCCCAGAACGGCGGGCGCCATCCGCACCCCCGAGTCTGTAGGGACGCTATCAGCAGACCCGGAGATGAAGTGTGCACCTGCTGAGACGGCGTTGGCGATGAGGGCTTCGACACGGGTTTTGGAGGCCGTGTTGACGAGTGTTGGGGGAAGGGCTGAGGCTGCTGCGCCGGCTGCAAGGGCCTTTTGTAGGGCATCTGTGAAGGATGGAAGGATGGAGGTGTGGACGAGGATTCGGTCGGTTGCCATGCAGATCTGGCCGGACTAACACGCAAAAGAATAATAGGGTTAGCTATTGAGTTGGAACAAGTAGACATGGGTACCTAGGCATAGATATGCAACGTGCGTCATGCGTCATGCACAGTGGTGTTCAAACTCACATTCAAAAATGCTCCCGCCAATACTCCCTGCACGGCAGTCTGCAAATCGGCATCCTGGCATACAATCGAGCTATTCTTTCCGCCTAGCTCCATAAGGCAGGGCTTGAGGTTCTGACCACAGGCGCGCGCGATCTTCCGACCAACAGCCGTGCTACCGGTGAAATTGATTTTTCGCACGGCTTCGTGCTCGATCATGGCATTGACAACCTCGGGGGCATCCTGCGGGGCACAGTGGATGATATTCAGACAGCCAGCGGGGAGACCGGCATCTTCGAAGGCGCGACCGATGGCCCAGTAGCAGCGGGGAGTTAATTCGGAGGATTTGAGGACTGTTGTGTTGCCAGCTGCGAGGGCGCAGGCTGCTGAGCGGATACCGAAGACGTAGGGAGCATTCCTGTAGAAGTAACAATTAGTTAATATCATTTTACACACCTATTCTGACTTCAGGTCCATGGATGGAAGAAAATAAAGTTTCCTGGAACTACCAAAAGGACACTCACCATGGCACAATCCCCAAAATAACACCCATGGCCTCTTTAAAAACAATCGCACTCTGTCCCTCTGTCTCAACGACAGGTACACTACCGCAGATGGATGTGATGCGACTCGCAACCTCGCGCAACATGCGAACACCAAGCGGGACAACGAACCCCGCAGAGGCACCGACATCCGCGCCCATTTCTTGACGCATATACTCGGCATTGGTATCGAGACGGGCCTCAAGGAGATCAGCAGCTTTAAAGAGGATGTCACGTCTCACGGTTGGTTTTGTCTGTGACCATGAGGGGAAGGCGGCGTCGGCGGCTTCGACGGCGCGGATTGCATCTTGGGGTGTTGCGGCGGAGGCGGTCCAGATGGTTGTGTTAGTGTAGGGACTTGTTACGGGGAAGGTTTTGGGGGTTATTTCTTCATGGCCGTTTATTAGGAGGGGGACTGTGAAGTCAGTGGCTTGGATTGTCATGGTGGGGGATAGATAGAGGGCAAAACTAGAGGTAGAGAGATCTGGGGTATAGAATGTAGGAGGGGAAAACAGAGGACAATATTGAGTCTTGGGCAAATATTTTCTTAGTGTTAGTGTTTTTACTCTTTCACTTTACATTCTAGTTATCTCGGCTCCACCAAGTCTAAGAAATGGACTGAATTCGGATGATCTCTGCCAGGCACCACGTTGGTTGCCTACATTGGTTGCTCAATGGCAAACTATTCCGCGCTATGCGACGACTATTTGATTGTATTTGATTATGTTTTCCACATTTTAGTGATGGGATTTCATGTATGAACCAATGAAGACTCATTCCAAGGTTCTTCATGTATCAATTTTCGGCACTTATACACCAAACCGGCAGTTTTAGGGAAGTCCAGTGGAGTCCATTGATCAACCAATGTATGAGGTAACTGAAGATTGTGAGAACCTTGGAAGTTCGGTAATAGCGCAGGGCCCACTGCGGGCAATTCCAAGGTTGGTCTTGGAAGAGGGGCACTTTAACTGGTTATCTCTAGTTACCTCAACCCCGTATGGTTTATGTTGTGCATGATATTTCGCCTATATCCTTAGCAGCTTCTGTATCTGGATGTGTTCGCAGTAGTTTTTGCTCTGGTTATGGAGTAGACTCTGCCTAATAATTTCAGATTTTCGTCGCTATTGGGATCGACATGTCAGTTTTAACCGACATACCCGAGGTGAAGAACCATGGATGAGAATCCTCGTGGCGTCGGTAGCGGCGGGTAGCTTTTCCATTCTGGAGGTGAAGTATAATACCTACCTATAATATACCTAGGTAGGTATAGATGCTGGATGGAATATATGAAGTATGTGGGGTACCAGGTGGGATATGGATAATCCAAAATCAATAGTTCAAGGAATATATTGTACAACATAGGTGATCGTTCAAGGCTTGCATAACTAGGCCCTCGTTCTCAGCTGGTATCAGATGGCCGATCGTAGGGATGTCCTTCCCATTCTGGTTATTCTGCATGTTACCGACCCCCACTCGGGATCCACTGAGCTATTCTGTAAAGAAAAGCATTTGTCATTGCAACAATGATGAAGCTTTACGGAGTACTCCGTAGTTACTTTGTATGCCATTGTCCTGTTTAACAACACAATATCCAAGAACACAGACTAGAAAAGAAGGGGGTCAACTATGAATCTCACCAAAAATCTCCAGCACACGTGAGTACAGTAGATCCCATTGCATCATCCACGTGGATATATGTAAGTCGGCGTACATTCCACATAAACCGAGATCTCTATCGGGACAACGATCGGCCACTAGGGGTTGCATGTGAGTGGATAAAATAGTGGGATATGGAATTTTGAGCTGGACTAGGGCATCGGCACTTCGGACAGATCGGGATATTCGCGTGGTACAACTTTTATATCAGTGAATGCCCTAGGATTGTGTGTTTCCCATTCATTCATTCCTTTCCTTTCTTTTTTCATACATATATTGCTATTGTTTCGGTTAAACCCTACACTCTTTTACTATTGGTTTGTCGAGCAGTGCAATGGCGCCAAGCACGAAGGGATGGCAGATGATTGAGATCGTTTCGGTCTTGGTCAGTCTATGTCTAATCTCAGTGGTGCTGCGAGTCTTTGCTCGTATTCGGAGGAGAGTCGGATTCGGCATCGATGATTATCTGAGCTTGATATCCATGGTGCTCCTTGTTGCTATGTTGGTCGAGTTGATTCTCTGTATGTGATTACCCCGCCCGTGGACCAGATTAGAATTTCATTCAATACTAACTAACATCTATCACCAGGGTGTGCAATTGGAGGCAATGGAGCTCATGTCATGGACCTATCTCCCCATACCCTCATGAACTACTGGAAGGTATGTATACAGCAATTATATCCAATATAAAATAACACCAACCTAACACCACCCAGATCTTCCTCGCAAACCAATTCACCTACTTCCTCCTCTGCCCTTGTATCAAGATCTCCATCATCTGCTTCTACCGACGTCTCTTCGCAACCCCGATCTTCCAAAAGGTCAGCTTCGGCCTAAACTGTCTAATCGCCGCCTGGGGCACAGGAATATTCCTAGCTTGCGCAGGACAATGTCGACCCCTACGCGCATACTGGGACCACAGCGTTGAAGGAACATGTTTCGACGCACAGGAATTCATCATCGTCAACCAAGCCTTCAACGTACTCATGGACTTCGTCATCCTCTTCCTGCCCATCCCAATGATCTGGAACCTCCACCGCGCATGGCAAGACAAGCTCGCGCTGAACGGGGTCTTCGCCCTCGGCACATTCGTTTGCTTCGCAAGTATCTACCGCATCGTCGTGCTCTTCTGGATCAATCCCACGGACCCTACTTTCACCGTCTACCAGGCCACGTTGTGGACGCACATCGAGCCTGCTGTTGGTCTGATCTGTTCCAATTTGCCGATTATCCGCGGTTTGTTCCCCGCGCTTAGGTTGAAGAGCTCGCGTAATGGAACAGGTCCTGCGTATATCAACACTGATTACACGAACTCTTTGTTCTTGTCGAAATCTAGCCCTCGCTCGCCGGATCTGGAGTACGTTAAGATGTACAATGCCCAGGTCGAGAGCAAGTCGTCGCCCGGGTTCCTTGGTGATGACCTCCATCCCCGGACTATTAATGTTCAGACGGATATTTCTATCCTTCCGGGAAATGAATCCACAACTAAACTGAATCAGTGAGGTGGGGTGCTGTTGATTTATGCCGTTACGATGTGATGATACCTTTTTTTCTTTCTTTTTTTTTTTTTTTTTTTCTTTTTTTTTTCTTTCTTGGGACAGGATGTTGGAAATAATTGGTTTATATTCCCGCGGAGAGAACACCCATGAACCCCCATTTATCCACTCTCCATGTTTTATATTCTTTCCTCCACTTTCATGCTAATGTATCCGACTTGCCACGCGTTTCTTGCACTCGATTACCCTGACCAACTTTACCTGTCATTCTTGATATTGATATGTCGGCTTCACCGACGACTAGAATATGATTTTCCTACGTACACAATGCGTTTTTTGGGATTTATTATACACTTCATACTATATCTTTCGTGTTTCATATTTTGTATATATATTTCATATCCTCTCTAGCTTTGGTCCTTTTCGGCTGTATATAGCTTGATTCCGTGTTTACCCGGATTGTTGTATCCATTTCAAAGTTTATACATGGAAAAGTCCCTTGCACAAAGTAACTAAGATCTTTTATACCTTCATGTACACCCAAAAGGAACGTCCAAAAATATCACCAAAAGACGCGGCAAGGCCGCATAAGCGGTTACCTATTCTTGTATCTAGTTACTCGAATACATTCAGAAGTGCATTACTCGAGAGACTATGAAGCAATGGATCTCGCTTTTAAACGACAGTATTTATAATTAAGTATAGCCCACGAAGGTACAGAGGCGAGACATATCAGCAAATGGAGCTTGTATTTCATTTCTCAGGCTGGCTAAAACGATATGCAAGAGTAGGCAGAAGGCATGAATTCGTAGATCTTTGACCTTTCATCAAATGGACACACGGACGAGACAGAGCAGACCATTCAATGCACCATCTGGCTCGTAGCGAATTCCTATAATCAAGATATTAGCAAGAAAAACAACCTCAGACAGAACAAAAACCATCACATACTGGGAACTGGTCAGAGATACTAGTAGCAACGCGCTCTACATCCTCCGCAAGATCCTGCACACCAAGATCCCACTGCCTCAGCTTCGTCCCATTAGAAGCACCTGCTGAGGATCCACCAAGAGTATCAGCATCAAACGAAATAACCCCATCAATTTGATCAATCCGACCACGCAGCCGACCCTGCTCAACCATGCGAGCAGCATAAGCCTCCGCCTTCTCACCGGCAGACACATCACCCGAAGACTGCAGCCCCAGAATCGAGCCCAGGTCATCAACGTGAATATTCTCATACAGCTTACTCGCCGCCACGAGATTGTGCTCGATAACCGCCTTATCGAGAACAGTCGTACCGTCAGCCGTAACAGCGAGCTGGTGCGGCGCAAGTTTATTCGCGAACGCAGCGACTTCATCGGCTGTCAGGAGTCTGTCCAGGAACATCTTCTCCAGGATACCGAATTCCTCAACGGAGGGTGTGCGGTCGTCCTTGTACAGACGGGCGAGGGAGCGGGAGCGCTGCGGACCAGCAGGTGCAAGGACGGCACAGCGGATTGCAGCGGATAGCGCCGTCAGACGGTCTCCTTCGTCGACGCCCGGAGCGAGACTCACGTTGAAGTATTCCTGGGCGGCATCGAGGAAGCGGCGACGGGCATCGAGAATGCGGGCCTGGGAGAGCTGGAAGTGGAGCTTAGCATCGTGGTCTTCTATTTTGGAGGGGAGGTTCTTGATGCGGTTGAGGAAGGATTCGGCGCTGGTTGTGTCGTCGTCTTCGAGGTAGTACCGCACGATGCGGATCCAGAGGCGGGCTTTTGCGGCATCTGAGACCAGACGCTGCGAGCTGTCGATGTGAATGCCCTGTAGGGCGTGGGCGGCGGCTGTGAATTCTTCCTGGGATTCGTAGGCGTCTGCGAGGATCTCGCGGATCTGCGAGTCTTGTTCTTCGACTGAGGCGGAGCGAGTGTGGAGGAGGGTGATGGCGTGCTGGCCGACTTTTATTTTTGTTTCCGGGGTGACGGATTGGAGGACTGTGATGAAGGCGTCGAGGAGGGGGCGGGCTGCGACGATGCTCACTTCTTCGCTGAGGATTGAGTCGAGGAAGTAGACTAGGTCTTGGGCGAGTTCGTGGCCGGTGGAGGTTGTTACCATCTCATTGAGGATGTCGGTGTATTGCTGTAGCTTTGTTGGTTGGTGTGGGTTCGTTTCGATGCCCGCTAGGGCGTTGGTCATCTTTTGGGAGGCCATGCTGGTGGTTGAGTGAAGGAGAGGTGGTAGAGAGAGTTGCTGTTAACGCGGAGTGGTGGGGACGACTGTTATCGATAAGAGCTGGCTTGGATGCATACAAACAGAGACAGGGCCATGGAGCTAATTTAATTAGGACAAAATATAATTAGGTAAAATAGGTATTACAAAGACCACAGAATTACCTAGGTATGACTATATAGAGCTAGAAATGATCTGTCCTCGATTGCCTTGTCACACGTGTGATCTATAACTAGCCTTGTTGTTATATCCGGTTTGTTGGTGCGCCGAAGACGTGGGAATCACTCCCGACATTCTGGAGTCCGTCCAAAGCCCTAAGATTCTCAAGATCTTACTGCAGCATCAAGATTGCTGCCAAGTTACGCCAGCTGTACTCGAAACACTCGCTTCTAACCCTGTGTGTGGTGGGAGACTGGTCCAAGCCCTACGTGAAAAAGAGCCTCAATACCCACACCCAATCTAGTCCTTTCAGTACGTGAATTGGTAGGTGATATTAGTATATGCAAATAGTAACATATAACATACTATTCAAAACTGGCAAAGGGATGATATTTTTTAGTAGCAGGATAATTGTCAAGTATGGTGATTGTTATGACACTGGTAAAGATGAAGGTTACTGGAGGATGAGATGGGAAGGTTTGAATGAATACTACCTAGAAAGTTATGCCCCCAAGCCTTATTTGGGATCTGATTATAGTTGGGCGTATAAATCAAGCTGTGCACCTAATGCTACGAGGTCGAAAAGCACATCGTCATACACGCAAAGAGAGCTGGCTCTCACCGCCTATCATATCGGGTTGAGTGAATAGCTCCAGACTTGGGTGGCGCGGACTTTGTCACTCAAACGCGCTTTTCGCTCCATCCACCACTTTCGCTCCTGATAAATCCAGTGCCCCTTCGACAGTCGCATTCCCTACACCATCACTTCCTCTGAAATTTGACCGTCTTCGAGCTATCCCGCACCCAGTATGGCGCAGGTCAAGCAAGACCCGGATCGCCCGTACTTCAAGCAAGACCCTGACAGCAAGGATATCGTCCTTGGGGACATAGAGGAAGAAGATCTCTACGAAGATGCTGGAGACTTGGACTTCACGCAAGCAGGTCAGAACGTGTGGCTCTCCCGTCTGCCTCGGTCGCTGTGGGAGCACTGGGCCCACCTAGACGACGACGAAGAGATTGAACTTGGTACCATGAGGGTGGAGGGAACACCGAACGACATCAAGAGGGTAAGTGGAAATACATGCGCATGTAATGTGTCCGGCAGATTCTGACATTCGTCCGTTTCTCAGGTCAGTTTGCGCATACACGATCGCCCAGATAATCGGGAGATTCCCAAGGACTACACACTCCAACGTCAAACGGTCGACCCGTCCGGCACCGGATCACACCTCACCCACAATACGTACCTCTTCACCGAGAAGGATATCCCCGGTGTCGAGAACCGCATGGCTACATTTGGCGAAACGCGCTCGGTTCTGTATGAAGCCCAGAAACGTGAAGCGAAGCGGCGAGAGCAGGGAAAAAGATGGGAGCCTTATGTGCGAAAGACAATACCAAGTATGTCCCATTGCAAAGATGGTGAGTTCTAGTTACTCACAATTCTTAGAACACACTGCCCTCGCAGGCGCGGTCAGTGAAGAATTCAATTGCCTTCCAGTGGAGAATGAAGAGTTCCGACGGATCTCCGAGAAGCGAGCGCTGGAAGCTCTGAAGCCTCGAAAGGAAACTGTCTTCATTGATAAGATTCCCGGGAAGATCATCCAAGCCCGCCATGCTCTTCCCACCGAAAGGGGACAGTTTGTGGTATGTTTTCTCGCATTTCTGTTTATGTTTGAGGCTAGATTACTCACTTCGCCTGCAGCAAGCCACACGACCTACCAAAGGAAAATCCCAGGAGAACAAGTCCACCCGTATGCCACAAAACGAGCTTCTGGATCTTATCTTCCAGTGCTTCCGCGAATTCAAATACTGGCCCTTTAAGACACTTAAGGCCCGATTGGCACAGCCGGAGGCCTATCTCAAGCAGACTTTGGAGATGGTTGCACACCTTGTCAAGGCTGGTGACTTCGCTATGACTTGGGAACTGAAGCCCGAGGCAACCCACAGTCAGTACTCGAATGCGATGCACAATGCAAAGGCAGAGTTGCCACCGGGAGCCGACGATCCTTTCGAGTCAGAGGATGATCCAGCTTCTGGAATGGATCAGGACGACATTAAATTTGAGGACGTCTAAACAAATACAGACAAATAACGGCTTCGATATGTTGCATAAGCAGGGTCCTGGCGTTAAGGCTTTCAAGGAAACGAAAGGCCGGGTTCAATTCGGAAAATCGTCATAGAATGGAATGAACAAATGAATTACATACAATGTTGGACTTTGTTCTAATCAATAGTCCCTTCGATTGGTATATTTGAAACTCATATCTCCGTAGAATCCACAATGACCGCTTTTTGAGTATCTTTAGCCTAGTTGGAAGCTGGTTTCATCAAAAATGTAGACCTTTCTTGTTGAGAATTACCTTAAGCACGTCGATCCAACCATTCGTGAGGCCAATATTGCCGGTCTGGAAATGTCGTTTATTGACTGGCTTCGGTGTAAGATTTAAATTGTTTGAAAGGCATGTGATAAGGCAACATGACTACATATTGTGAACTAGCGGTAGTGTGGCTGCTTCCATGGGGAAGATTTTCAGCAAGAATTTCATTTATACATTGCTCGGCCAGTATTTTAGGCAGGGAGTATATATGCAAGTTTTTAGGTATTTTAAGTAATGATGCTTTCTTTTCCATCTTGAAGT